GATAATTTTATAGTATTGCAATATATTAAATTCTTAAGGGTCCGGTGTGTTTACTTGGGGGATTGGATTTTAAATCCACTATTCATCTCATTTTTTCTCTTAAAAAATATCAAATCAAACACTTATTTTTTATTTTTTATATTATACTAAAAATAAATTTTACATTTAAAACATCACATCAACACCTATTTATATCACATCATATAACTATTCAAATTCAAAATTTTAACTATTCAAATCCGAACTCAAAATCCAAATCCCAAACAAACACACAAAATTAGTCATTTTAAATACATTTTAGAAATATTGTTTAGCTAAAACTACACTTAAAATTCACACTCTATTTCAAAAACATTCTATATTTCGTTTCAATTCTTTTTTATTCAATTCTTACTCTATGATATGCTTTTTCTGTTGATCTTGTATTTCTCTACAATTATATTATTTGCATTCCTTTTAAGGTGTCAAATGGGCCTTGATTTTTAAAATAAATAAATAATTAGAGTCTTTACTAGTCGGCCCATTCTAACTCTAACGTAGGACATAATTTTTTAAACAATATTTGCTCTTGGCCTTGGTCCTAACTCATAATCAAGGCGTATGTATGCAAAAAATATGGTATATGATTTTGATATTTTAGTATTCAATATATATATATCCATAATTCGATACGATACATTATATAAATATTCTACCGAATTTTTGTTATGATATCGATATAGAAAAATATCATAAAAAAAAAATTGGTACAATATAAGGTGATGCGGTATAAAATTTTCTATATTCACCCTTAGTTTAGCTTAAATGGTTCTGCGCAAAATAAAAGGTAAATTTTATAATACAAACTTGTACTTTATTATAAAAGAACAAAATATTTTATTCTTTTTTTTTTTTTAATTTATAGTATGTAATATGTTTATATTAAATTAAATTAGAAGTAATCATTTTTGTTCAAACCTGATATTGATTGTAAGCACACATCTAAATATGCAAAAACACAAATAAAAGAATAAAATATTTTAAATAATTTTTTTCAATAAAATAAATAAATAAATAAATAATTGATCAACCATTCATTTCAAATTCATTTTAAAAAATGATCGAATATGCAAAACATTACCATCTCTATTGCCTTTTTGAGATGATTGCTCTCAAATTATTTCACAACCACAACTATACGGCCATGAACCTCTTGGAAAAGCTTTAGCATTTATAGATAAGCTAATCATGGTATGCTCTTCAATGACACAATTTACCAAGACATGAATATGCACAATATCTAATCATTGGCAATATTGATATCACTTCAGAATCTCTTTCTAACCAAATTCAATCATTTATTTTATTCAAAGTTAAGTTATTTAAGATAACTTACAATGAATTTTGGCATATATTAATAGACTTGTGAGCTGCTGTTAGTTAGTTGCCGTGGTTGTAACCACCATAAGGAGTTTTGTGATCCCTCTTAATCTGCAAGTAGCTGACGATTGGTATAGATATTCCTCTTGACAACACAGGTCGTAGGACTTGGAGTTTGGAGGGAAATACATGAGTCTAAGAAGAATGTATAGTATGTTTGGATAGTCGCGTCAGCATGTAAGTAGTTCGCATCAACGGAAGAAGTTCACAGATTGGCAGGACTTAAGACGGAAAAAGACTCTCTAGTAGAGGAGCTACCATCGATAAGAGCTCACGACTTTTCTGACTTCCAATTACAAACCTTGCATTTTCTAGACCTTTTATGTATAAATATGATATTTGGAAGCTTGGATTATTTCAAATGAAATATAATGATATGTATGTCCAAGAAAAATTCTATTGTGAATCTATCTCCTGATGGTACGGTACAATCACCACCTCATTCGATCAAGTTGCGAGAGATTTCATGGATTTCCATACGAACCTTCTTGGTTCCTCCTCGGACGTTCTGGATTTGGATGAAGAGGTCATCAAATTCGTCCCCGCCATTCCGGACTCCCTTTATGGGGATCTCCTGGCCCCGGTTACCACGGAAAAAGTTTATTCCATCATTAATTCTATTATAGTGTGAGTTACTCTGTCGAATTTTTTCATTGCAGTTTGGGACATCATTGGTCTTGATATGTTTACAACAGTCAAGTATTTCTTTTTTTCCATAGAAAAATGCTCAAAGTGGTGAACTTTGTTCTCATCCCGAAATCCACCTCCTCCCTCGGAGTCAGTGATTGAGAAAATTCTGGAAAATCATATTAAAATTGGTCTTCATGCTATTATCGATTTATCCCAAGGGATATTTTTCTAAGGGAGACTTATGACTGATAATATCCTCTTGCTTCAAGAGTTATTCAAGCATTATTCAAGGAAGAGAAACTCACATGTTGTATAAATTAAGCTCGATCTTATAGAGGCTTTTAACTTGATGTCTTGGGATTTTCTTCGGAAAACTTCTCCTAAAGCTGAACTTTTTGGAACAATTAGTTGGAATTCTTATGGAGTGCGTAGAGTTTGTTTGTTCCGCCTCTTGGTCCTTAGAAATTAATGACAGTACATATAGTTTTTCCGTGGCAAGAAAGACTTGAGACAAGGGGATTCCCTTTCTCCTTACCTTTTTATATTCTTTGCATGAAATATTTTTTCCGGCTCTTGAATTTGGAAAGCCAAACTAGGGAAATTCACTACCATCCGGGTTGTTCGCCTCTTGAAATTACACACCTTGCATTTGCGGACGATGTTATCCTATTCTCTCATGACGACTATCATTCCGTGGAATTCTCCATGATTGATAGCATTGTCCAATTTGGCAAAGTCTTTGGACTAGCACTGAACATTTTTTTTTTTTTTTGATGAAAAAAAAGTTCTTCGTGTGCTACGCACGCATTTAATCTCCTTCGGATGGATACTTGAGAGCTTTATAAAACAATAACATTCAATGGTTGTATTTACTTCCTCACTATTTTGGATGACTACTCGAGAGCTATGTGGACATATCTTTTGCCAAAAAAATCAAATATCCATCAACTCCTTGTCTAATTTATTACTCAGGTTCATGATCAATTTGGAGTTACTATTGAGCAAGTTCAGATATATATATTCCACAGCCTTTGTGATACCCCAAAATTAAGTAGAGATACATAAAGTTTAAGTAGATTAATTAAACTATTTATGTTAACAATATATGCATATTTATTTTTAAGAGTCTACTTGAGAAAACTCTAGAATTAAGTATACTTGCTTTAGGATAATTTTAGGATGGATGACCATTTGGAAAGTCTCTCATGGTGCATGTGAGTGAGAATAAAGCGCGTTGGAAAGACTTGTGTTGACCTATGGGGCCAGTCTACAATCCTAACACACCTAATTTGCATGGCTTGCAGACTGGAGGTGTTATAATTGATATCATATCCAACCTACAACAATCCATAACCATTAATCGGATTGTTGAGACTTAGTAGTTGACGGATACGGATCCTTGGGGTGCAACGTAAACGTTGCATTCTTATGTTGGAGAGGATGTGATGTGATACCCCAAAGTTGTGTAAAGGTGAATAGAGTGTAACTGGATTGATTAGACTATTCATGTCAACAATTTGTATATTTCTTTTCGAGTGTCTACTTGAGAAAACTCTAAAATTTATTGTGCTTGCTCTATGATAGTTTCAGGATGGGTGACCTATTAGAAAGTCTTCCAAGGTGCAAATGAGTGAGGACAAAACGCGTTGTAAAGACTTGAGTTGACCTGTTTGATCCCAACGCACCCAGTCTACTTGGCTTGGGGACCTTAAACTACCCAATAGACAAATTAGAAAGCCTATTTGGATGAAGGAATACGGTTATTCCTCTCAACCAATAACATTCTTTTCCTTGGTTATTTATTCACATTTGGTGTCGCTATCTCAAACCTACATCTTATGTATAAGCACAATAAGATCCACTACGGAAGCCAACTATAAATATAGAGTTACATCAATATGGTTTTCACCAATATCCACATGATGTTTGTCTGTTTACATTATCATAAGGACACAATTTAGAGTTTTGTTGGTGTATGTGAAATGATATCCTAATGATAGGGAATGATTCATCAAGCATTGATTACCTCAAAAATTTTTGCACCAATAGTCCATCATCAAGACATTAGGACGACAAACTTCTTCCTTGGAATTTAAATTGAAAAGACTCATGTAGGTCTTATATTTTTCAACATCAATTTATTGAAGATATATTGTAAGAAACATGATTACATAATGCCAATGCATGTTCCATGCCAACATCCTCAAGCACAAAGCTACAAAATCATAAAGTCTTATAGATTAATTGTAGGTAGATTGCTCTACTTAATTACCATTCCACCAGGTATTTGCTACACAGCTTAGGAACTTAATCACTTTATGAATGCACCCGCATTAGAACACTCGAAGACAACTCAATAGGTACTCAAGTACATGCAAGGTATTGAAAATCTACAACTTCTAACATTTTACAATGGACAACTTTCCTTCACATCATTTTGTGATGTTGATTGAGCAAGTTGCTTGAACTATAGGAAATCACATATCTTGGACCTTGTTATTTCTTGGAAGACTAAAAAATCAACCAACCATCGTTTAGATCCTCAACCAAAATTGAATATATAGCAATGACAACTATTATTTTTGAGTTACTATGGATCACAGAATTGCTCAAAGACTTCTAGATCTTGTCAACACCTACCATGTTACATTGTGACAATCAATCCTCTATCCATACGGTGCAACCCGGGGCGCCATGACCACACCAAACATATTTGATGTAGACTACCATTTCATCTGATTTTTTTACTCGATCTATATCCAATTATCCCAGTAAGATGCTAATGTCTTCACAAATTTGGATTATCTCATGCATGTTCTCTCGAGGGAGTGTGCCAGAGTAAGAATGATCACCCTACCTCCACACTTCTACATATATGATGCTCATTTATTTCAATAATCAAGGAAAATTATTAAAAATATAAAATATGAGATTACATGTGAATAGTAAAATATGAAAAATGATAATATAGTTCTTGCTATTAAACTATTCTATTAAATAAATAAATTACACAACATCACGTTGTTTCAAAATATTTCTACAATAAATTTCTGAATAGTCCTATTTTGGACTATTTTTTTCTATTTTTTTTTTGGGTAATATAATAAGATTCATTTATCCTTCTAAGTGCAACGATGGCAAAGAATCTATACACAATTCACTGAAGAAAATCATATCATTTTCTCGAATTTGTCGAGCTTTTTCACTCTCTGCATTGATCTCAGAATAAGCGCAAAAAACACACCTGCATCGAGTTGAGTCCAAAATTGTAGTATACCCATGCCGTATTCATCGATCACCATTTATATGTGACAACCCAGGATAGTTTTATCTTACCAAAAGAACACAAGAACAAGAAGAGAAGAAAGGCATGTAGAGTTTAAATACTGACCTGCAGCTATGAGAGAACCGTTGGCAACAGCTTCGTTGCCTTGGCTACTGAATGTGACGCCGAGATTCAAAAGGGTTCCACCCGAAACAGTATATATTGTTGCCATTTGTAATATGGTTGCTTTTCTAGCTGCTCTTTCTGACTGATTGATCATATGAAATAGTATAAGTAAATGAATCATGCGAAGTAAAATGACTACTGCCTCATGCAAGATCTTAATTTGACTATTGGATTGAGATTATAAATTCAGATATATTGCTTTTCAGGTATTTCATCTAGAATAGCTGCTCCTGTTTTGTATGAAATGTAGTTATTCATAAGCGATCATAACTACAAAATAACTTGACTCAGACTTATTGACAACTCAAGAATATAGTTCTTGATTGGAAGGGATACCATATTGTTTTATGTTTAGGATAGTAAACGTGTCTAGAGCTGTTAAATGAACCAAATCGTTCGTGAATTTAGTTCGGTTCAGCTCGTTTTAAGTTCGCTCACAACATAAACAAGTCGAACCAAAAAAAATAAATAAGCTTGTTTTGTTAACAAATAATCTGAGTCTTGTTCGTTAAAAAATATATATATATAAAATTATTAATTAAATAAATAAATATAACAAAATATTATATATATGAATTAAAAAATAACATAAAATATCATATCTATCCAAACGAACTAGAACGAGCCCAGACAAACTTAATTGAGCCGAACACGAACATGAACTCGAACAATAAAATTGCTTAATAAACCAAGCTCGAATGCTTAACGAACATAAGCTTTTTCTGTGAACATTGACAAACAAATATAAACATTTAAAATTCTATTTGGCTTGGCTCATTAATGGCTGTAAACGTGAACTTTACCTTATAATAACTAAAAGCTTGATCATATAAGCTCAAGTTTAAACCTAGTATAATTTAAACATCAACAAGTTTTTTCATATAAAAGCCTAAGCTTGAGTTCGTATTCTAGACTACTCAAAAGCTTGAAATGAAATTATTACATGCCTATGGATCGTGAGCTCAAACCAAGCTTGAATATGTAGAAGTGAGGCTCCGAAAATTGTTTGAAACCCCGCTGAGTCCAATCAAATAGGAACAAATTGATATATTTTCATTATTGTGTTTAATTTGTGAGATAGAATTATAATACATAGTTTTATTTTAACGAATTATATAATTATATGATAAAATAATACAATGTTTACTTTAATGAATTATTGTATAAAATTATAAACTTTTCCTAAAATACCCTTACTTCTTTGATAAAACTATTAATAAAAGACAAAATAGTCTTTTTAATGTTAATACTACATTATATTATTTAATCCTACCTAAACAAGGAGGATTAATAATCTCTAATTATGCTACTATTATATCGGACTTTACTTAATTAATGGCTATAATAATAGATAGTAAACACGTGATTAGGATGAATAAAATAATATTATCCACCATAATCGTGCAAAGTAAACACCCACTCAATATTATCTTAAAAGAAAAACCCCAACTTGGAGCTTTAAAGAAAGTTAAGAGTAATTTTAAAGATTTATTAGACAAACCACCACGTTTCTTGAGTTAGGAACTCATGCTTTGTCAAGATCAAGTTCAAACATGCTAACACTTAAAATTTAACTCAACTAGCTTTGGCCATAGAAAAAAAATTATTAGATGGTATGTTTAGAAAAAAACAAATCACCTCAAGGACTCGAACTCGGAGCTTTAAATCCCCTGATTCAAGCTGCTTGACAATTTCTTCTATCTGTTGAATACGAGAAGGCATAGAGATAGCTGAAGATCTTGCCTAGACAGGATTAATAGAGATCCTTTAGAATCATTCATGATGAATAACGGTCGAACAATGAACAATGAGCTGAATATTAGTAGGACAGGATGCAGTATTACATCGTCAGCCTGTTTTCTTATTTCCTGTACAAGTTGTGTTCCAGTGCGCTGTCTCTGTCTCAAATCCAATAGCTCCTGTAAGAACATTAAAATATTCTGAGTTTATGTGTTTTTTATGTAGTTAACAACAACAGAAAATGCAATGTAGGACCTGAGCATATGGTGCAGCAATTTTCGGGAACGAAAAATCAGGATTGAGAGTGTAGCCAATGCCTGTTGGATCAAGACTAATAATAAATCATCTGAAATTTACAAACATTATGGCTACAAAAAAATGAGAGAGAAAGAGAGAGAGACCCTCAAGAGTTGAAAATGCCCTGAGGACAAATGTAAATGTGGCTGGAAACCGGAATGGCTGATCTGTTGCTATGGCAAATAAATCCTTCAGGAAAATAAAAAACATAACATCAGAGCATGTTCTCCCAAACATGTTCTTTTCATTTAACAATGTTTCATGTAAATTTTTCTGCACTTTCGGAAAAGGGATTAGTGTGTTTTGTACCTCACCAATTGCAGACAAAGTTTGTTGTTGATCAGGTCGTTGATCTAACAGGTTGTCAAGAAAAAACTGGACTGATCTCCTCACCTAAAATCATTTCGTAAGAAAGTAACATAGCATAAATCTGCTGTAGACTCATGGTCTGTATTCTATGCATCTGTTATTCATCTATTTTTCTCATAAGCCAAAGTAAAGTTGATCAATATAAGAGCAAACCGATGTCATATCCCCCGTGGGCTGAAGAGCTCCTAGATCTATTAGACTTTGCATAACCTGCACACACAGCTCCACCATTATTTCTTTAAACATTGTTTTGACCTTAATACCTCATAATACACTTGAATCATTGCTCTTGAGCGGCAATAGTAAAAGAGTAGAAATCCATGCAAGATATTCTTGTGATGATGAATTTAGTTATCTTCCATGATATTGGGGAATCTTTCTTGAGTGAATTCTTCATAGAACTTAAATCCCAAACTTTATAGTTTCACGGCATCCTAATCTAGTGGCATGAATTGGAACACAATTGCAGTTTTAACTATTTCATTCAATGGTTCCTAGGAAAGTGTTGTCTGCCAAGGGCATAAAACTGATTACAATCTACAGCAACTTTCAGTAGAGTCCCTAATGGGAACCATTTTTACTTCCTTAACAGCATTAATGCAGTTGAAAACACATGTTAATTCAAGTAATTCTTGCTGTTGGAGTGCCTAAAAACAAAAAGGTATAAAAATAACACATCTAGATAAAATAAGATTCAACCACTTCAATGTAATAAATAAAAAAAAAAACACCAAGAATTCATGTGTTCATATTGCAATCATTACCTATTATGAGAAATGTGCCACGGTTATATAAGGAGGCATGCTCAATTGAAGTACTATAATCCAATTTCAGATATGAATTCAACTAACTGATTGATGAAATAAAGCAAAAGTGAAAAATTGAACCTTCTTTGCATCCTTCTCATACACAGCATAGAAAAGCTCCAATAACCTCTCTCTTGTGAAGCTTTTAATGTCGCCCATCATTCCAAAATCATAATATATTAGTGCCTCATCATCATCAATAGCAAGGTTTCCGGGATGAGGATCAGCGTGAAAAAAACCAGTCTTTAATATCTGAAATGGTGAAAGGAGTGCAAGCAAATTATTGAAAAGAGAATACAATTGAAAAAGGGAAGATTGGATTCTGTTAAATTAAAGGAGTCCGAAGCTAACCTGAATCAAGTAAGCCTCAATGGCATGTGATGCAATGGTAGCTCGATTGTACCCTCGTTGATCAATCGCATCTACTTGGTTTATCTTGATGCCTAATGGAAATTATGTATAGAGTCAGATAAAACACATAAGCTTGACTGCTTTACCTTACAACAATTCAGTAAATGCAACTGAATGCAGTGTGAGCAAAGGGATTCTAGTACAATATATAACCAATAGAAATGAGACAATACCAGGAGCATACTCCAATGTTAGCACTCTTGTTGTTGTGTAATCCCAGTGAACCATCTACAATGAACAACAAAACACACACTTAAAAAAAGCAGTGAAAGAATAAGTATACAAAATAGTCAATGTTAGAAGGCATGCAGAATGAGAAAGGCAACATTTCTTTCACCAGTACCTCTGAGTTTCAGAAACTACAGGAATTAGAACTACAAAATAGAAATAAATATGTGACGGTCATAAGTTTTATTCTGGATCTGAAAACCTGGAGAGTAATCTAATTGGGCCTGTGATGTCTGATTGATGCTACTACTTAAAGTCAAATGGAGGAATATGTTAAATATTGGAAACCATCATGTCATTAACTGCACAGTGGGAATGGAATTTGAGCTAACAATATGAAGGAGAGTCAGAGGAGGAGGAAACATACAGGTACTCGAACCCACTTTATATTTCGAAAATCACGGCGAAATCTATCAGCATTTTTCCCTTCGTTCACATAGTCAATCTCTTCATACAACACCCTAGAATTCCCATAAGATGTAATGAGTCAGTGTATATAGGGAAATCAGAATCACAAGACAAAAGGTGAGCGTCATCTTGAACAGCAAGCTGATCCACAGTTGGACACAATATGTAATGAATAGCATGCGAAAGAAAGAACTTTGTTCATATACTCAAAACAATATTAACGAGATCAGAAAGCATATGCCACCTTCAGCATCAAATTATACACATTATATCATTAATGTTTAGAATGATGTTTGTTGTCATTGTCATATGTACATAAACTTTGTGTCGTTTATGTTTTGGGTTTTTTTGGAAATGGTAAAAATTTCAACTGAAAATAAGTTGGTTAAGATGCTTTTAAGGGATTTTTTTTGGGTCTATCGTAGAAAGAATAGTGAGAAAACAAACCAAAAAAACAAACAAACACAATTTAATCTTTTATATATAGCTCACTTGGCACATTCTTCATAAATTCCAACCCAATCCCTAGTTGGACCACCCAATGTCTCACTCCTTTGAAAATATTCAGCAATCAGCTTTAAATTTTCTGAACAATGAGAAAGTTTATTAGAACAAGCAAGTAGTACTATAGGTCTGACAAATTTAAAAGGTCAGCTAAAAACTCACTGAGATCAATGTCAAAAAGTCTCTTCAGTCCTGGTCTTTGAACTTTTATGACTACTCTCTCTCCGTTATGCAAGATTGCTCGGTGCACCTGAAAAAGATTTCAAAAAACATTCAGCACAATTGAAGAATTCAATGTAAAAAATACACAAACATGAAAAAGGTAGCTGCTTCTACCTTCTATATGATGGAGACATGAAACATTTACTGTTTTAAGAGGATATTTCCTTGATTGTTAGTTATTTACATTTTTATAAACTAATCGCATATTAAGTTCATACCGGTTGCTGAGATTAGAGAATATATATATAAATACAAAACAGTCATTCTCGAATATATCCTGTAATACCACATTATGTCACACCAAAATAAAAAACAAAATAAATAATCCTAATGGCTTATGGTGGAACTGTTTCCAATAGCTTTAAAACACACTCTTGTGCTTTGATTTAAAGAAAAAGGTATTTGCAAGTTCCCACTTAAATTTAGGAAGCGTGTGTGCATAGAGCATATATGAAGTGCAAATGGCCAATTATAGAATACAGAAATGTACAACAAATTTAAGGATATTATATGTACTTATTGATGTTTTACTGATTCCAGGAAAAAAGCAAACATAAAGGGCACCTGACCAAGACTAGCAGCTGCAATCGGCCTGTCTTCAAACTCCTTGAACAGCATATTTATAGTGGCGCCCAATTCCTTTTCAATGAAGCGCTTTGCTTTTTCAGGTGAAAATGCCGGCACCCTATCCTGAATCATTAGAACATTTTGTACAAAGCAATTTTAATTCTCAAGATTCAACAATTTGCCATAAAAATTGATCATTCCAAAGCTTAATTATGTCAAAAAAAAAAAAAAAAAAAAAAAAACAAAGGAAAAAAGAGACAACTACTGGAAAATAATATTCCCTAGTACCTGCAACTTGGCAAGCTCTTCTACAAACTCATTTGGGAACAAATCAGATCTTGTTGAGGATAACTGACCCAGCTTAATAAAAGTAGGACCAAGTTGCAATACAGATTCTCGAAGCCACGAGGCTGTCTTTCGTCTTCTTTTTCCCTGAAAAATAAAAATATGGTAATTAGAAAATGATGTTCTTCTGATTTAAGATTATATAGACGAGTATTAACCAATCCCACCTGCTTATCCTCGGAAAATCCTCCAATGTATGCCCACTTGGCATTGTCGAAAAGAACACGCACACGAAGTGAAATAACAAAGGACCAAACATCTATACTTCTTTGGATTGAGTTGTAGTTTTCATTGGCCCAGCTAAACCCTTCATCAGATGGTAATACTGTTAACTCTTCAACAGGAGGAAGCTGTTTACTCCTGGAAGCCTTTTTGGAAGAGGATTGAGCTGGAACATCTCTCTTAATCAGGCTTGATTCATTGGCATGAGGCACACCATTAACCTTCTTGAGGGATTCATTCAAAGTGTCTGGTTTAGTTTTGGATGGGGGAATTCGGTTCTTGAGCTCCGTTGTAGGTACCATTTTTGTAGGTCGGCCATTTGTACCAACTTTAGCAGACAGCTCTGTCTGCTGCACTCTCACTTGAAACTGATTAACTTTCTGAGTTTTAAATAGATGATACTCATTGTTTCTGAACTTCACACAGTTGTTCGATATGGATCCTGAAAAGCTAAGGTCATCTCCTAGTTTGCCATGATATGCAGTCTCTCCAATGCGGCAACAGCAGCCCTGTGAAGCTAGTATTGCCGCCATAAAAGATATATAACCTGGAGAAGAACCGAACAGAGAATCTTACTTAAATAATGAACCGTCCCCTTCTTACAGATACTTATCAAAAAATTAGATCATTACAAAATTGTTTGAAAGTGAAGGCATAAAGACAGCACACAGGGTTTCAGGAACAAATGGTATCACCCAGAGAACAGGTAGGTTTGATAATTTAACTTGATCATGTATATATTTCTACCGACACAAAAATGAAAACGTCAAAAGGAAATCCAGGTAACCTATCCCACTTGATCAAACATGGACGTAACCAAGATACTAAAGAAACAAGAACAACCACAAATGTCATGGCCAACTTGAAGGTTGATCACAATCCTAACCTAACTCAATTATATATAAACGAGTGAGAAATAGTCACAATTATATAACTACAGGTATAGTCGCCATTGCAAGTGCAATATACACTCCCGAGGTGCGTAGTTCAAGCGGTTGAACCCTCCCTTAGCATGCTGTTGGGGATTCGATTCTGTCGGATACGTGAGTGTGTGCATGTGTGGGTAAAAAAAAACGAAGAGAAAAAAAGGAGTGCCTATGCAAAATAACATGTTGAAGAACAGAATTAATCACATAGAACAAGTATCTTGACAGATACAAGAAGTATGCATCATATCAACAAGTAAACAGTACAAACATAATTGCTCAGCTCCACAAGTTATCACCCTCTTCCAGGACAACAAATTCCCAGAAATTCAAACAGCAATTGATGTTGCCCAAATCACTTTAAACATAAGAACAGGAAATTATAACGAACAGTCCCAAAATTAATGGTCTGATCATCCCCGAAACAGCAACAAATTATAACAAACTGAACTCAAAGTTAAGACAGTAAAAATACCCAAAAGTGAAGAATGGATATTCGAGAACTCTGCAGAAATTTAGAAAATAGCAGCAGGCAACCCGCCCACCACACACACGCACGCACCCAAAAGTATCTCCCACCGACTCTGCTGCAAACAGCAGTACGAAATAGATATTAAGAAGAGTGAGGAAGCAGGAAACAGACAGTCCGCATATATATATTTATTTTCCATTCCAATCTTATAATAGTCCCATTGCCAGACAAAAGAGCGATAGGTTGATTTGGTATCTGTTGCGGTCTGACTGGTCCCAATTTCTTCGACGTGTCCCATTCTTCTCCGCTAGTGAATCCGAAACATTTTGGTGGAAATCCCTGGCTTCTACGCCATTGCTTCGTGGAAGAAATTCAATTTTGAAACGAACTTTCCACTGGAGTTGGTTTCGTTTCTTTGTTGTTGTGTGTGACTGCAACGAAAGGTACGCATTACATTATGGGATTCTAGAGTAAGGGTCAGAGCACTGTTAAACGATTGGTAACTTGTCCGGTTCGACTCGGTTCACCAACCGGATATTCTTTAGAAAAAAACAATAATAAATAAAATATTATATATATATGAATTTAAAAATACTAAATAAAGAAATTTATATATATAAGAATAATTAAATTAAGTAATTAATAAAAAATTAAATATATGAATTTAAAAATAAAATAAAATATCAAATATATATATCTGAAAATTAGCTTGAACAGCTCAAACAAGCTCAATAAAGCCGAATACAAACTCGAAAAATAAATTTTTTAATGATCTGAGTTCAAACAATACTAACGAGTTCGAATACTTAACGAACGAATATAAGCCTTGTTAGTGGACTTTAAAACGAATACAAACACTTAAAATTTTTTTCAATTTGGCTGGTTAATAACTCTAATTATAGGTGTCATCCATTTATGATTTTATTGAATTTTGTTAGTCTTTAAAAAGTTGTCTATTTATTTGAATTTTATTCGACCCAAAAATTATCAGAACGACATTCTTTACCAAAATAAATAAATAAATAAATAGTGTAATCCAACATAAGTCAGTATTAATTTTTACTTTGTTATATTTGAAATGAGAATAGAGATATATTTAAAAATTGTGAATCACATATTAAAAAAATATTAAAAATTCTTCTGATCATATTTCTTAACTATGCATGACAGAGATTCAATAGCCTATTTGCATTTTCCGGATGACTTGACCACCAAAATCCTCCCGATGATATCGAGCACCACGACCCCCAAAATCCTTAGATGATATTGAACAACAGGCAATGAAGCTAACATTGATGTTAATTGGTAGCAAATTTTCAATATATTTATCTAAAAATAATTTTTTTAATTAGTTACCCTGTCACTATAAAAAATATATATACATGTAAACACAATAAATAATTTTTACGTTTCACTATTTAAAAATTTTATATAAACACAATATATATATATGTAAACCTAAGATAATATTAATGATTTTTTTTAATAAAAAACTGAAATAAAATAATTAAAAGAAAAAATAAATAAACAGAAACTAGCTATTCTCATTTTTACGAAAGAAAAATATAAATATATAGTTCACTCACACCGGAATAGCATGCAATGTATTCATTAATAAGAAAATGGACAGATTTTATTAGGATAAAATATTTATATTTTTAAATATTGTATTTACTAATATAAAAATACATATTCTCTTGTATTTTTGTTTAAGTTTTTATTTTTTATAAAAATATACAACAATATTAATAATACCCACTCCGTCCCACTCAATTAAGTCACATTTTTTTTAGTCATCCCATTCATTTGTCACTTTCCAAAAAAAGAGTAAGAATTAACAAATTTAATTACAATTAAATCTTAACAAATTCAAAACAATCTATTTAGTTTTCTACACACAAATATTTTAAAATTTTATTTTTTAATTACGTTTAATTAGAACCGATAAAAAAATAAGATTCAAAAATATAAAAACTCGACTCGGACATGATATGAAAGTTCGAATTTACGCCAGACGTAGCTGAAATTTTTTAAACAATAAAAATAATTTAAAGTTTAATAATTTTTTAAAATATTCCATAATTAATAAATTTTAACGATGTATTTGGTTTTAGGTTTTAGTTTGTGTAAATAAAAAAAATAATTTGAATAATTTTTTGATTTAACATAAATATGTATTAATATGATGCTTTGAATGTGAAATTAATTTTAATATAATATAAAAATGATAGATAGAAGTTTAATTTGAAAAATTTTAGAAGAAAAAAATGATAAATAGACTCGGGTTTGTTTGCTTAGAGTTTGTATTTTAAATAATATATATTTTTAATTTAAATAGGTTATTTGATGATATGTGCTATATATATATATATGATAATATTTTGCTATATTTTGGATAGCTTTTTTATGCGAAATTTTGTATATATGCTCCTTATAGTGTGTTTTTTTTTTTTATTGTGTAATAGGTTTCATGGAGTTGACAAGTTTTGGGGCGTATTTGAGAAAAAAAAAAGCATAATGCATAAATGCTTTAGGCGTGATCACGCAAGTACACAATGCGGAAAATATGAGAATTTACAAAAAGACCATTCGGGGTAAATTGACAATATAAAGATTATGTGGAGATTTAATTGCAAAGGAGATCTAATTAAAAAGGGATCATGAGATGAAGAATTAAGAGACACGATTTTACAATTACAGAGGGGGAGAGAAAAAGACTACCACGTTCTTCACCAGATATCAACCCTTTGAGGGAAAAGAGACGCAAGAAAGAACGCAGTGTAGAGAACTCCTGGGAGCAGGGCATAAAAACTTTGAGGGGATTCTTTCTTCATTCTTATAATTGGTTTATTGTCGATTTCCAAATATTGAAGGCATGATGAACTTCTTTATTTGCTTTGTGTTTTCGATTTCCATAGATTGTGAGTAATTTATTTTCTACCTAAGGTATGAATTGAAGTTTGGGAGATGAATTTGTGAGACTTAGTTTTTATTTTAATTTGATGTTTATTGGTATTGGGTATTTTAAATTTCTCTACTTGACAAGATTAGAAATGTTAAATTGATATTTGTGGCCACGTATTAGTTTGAGATTTCATAGCTATATTGAAGACTGCACCTGTAATTGTGTAATATTTCAATTGAAGTAGCAACCTAGAGAAAGAATACTCTAGGATGATTAAAATCAAATTTGAACAAATTCTCGTAGGAATTTGGTAATTGAATTGGACCTTTTTAGTTCTCAATGTTGTCGAGTCAGCAATACTACGGTCGTACCTTGAATTCTCGGTCGATTAGGGAAACAGCTGACGGTCGTACCTTAGCTATCGAAAAAATAAGGAAATGTTGGTTGTGAATGCGTGTAGATTAACTATAACCAATTTATCCAATAAACAATAAACTTAATTATGGTCGATGAACAAATTTTCATATCCCGAACAGAGATTTGTGTTTAGGCTAGAGTTTTAGTTAATTTTGATTATATTTTAGCTTAGTTTATTTTCTTTCTAATTTGAATTATTCTCCTTCTTTATTTAGCATAGTAAATCAAATCTCAAATCCCCCATATATATATATATAATTATAAATTACCAAGTTTTCAAATATTTATTGCTTTCCTGCAGAGACGACCCTACTCACCATATCTATATTGCATTTTGCATTTTCTGTGGCATAAAAATTAATATTTTATTTTGCAGCTATGCGATACGCTAGCAATTTTGGCACTATTGAGGAAGTTGTGATATATTCGATGGCACAAAGAACTATGAGGGAGCTAGTTGCTTCCAATTTAATTCAACATCCATTGTGTATTACTTTTCCTATTATAGCCGATAATACAACATTTGAGTTAAAATCTGGATTGATACATCTATTGTTGTCTTTTCATGGCTTGGAAGGGGAGGAACCACATAAGCACTTGGAGGAGTTCGATGTGGTGTGTGCGAGCATGAAGCCACCGGGAGTCACTGAGGACCAGATAAAGCTCTGAACTTTTCCATTCTCTTTGAAAGATGCAGCCAATGATTGGTTGTTCAACTTGTCTCCGAGAGTGTAACCACATGGATGGATATGAAGCGCAAGTTCCTCGAGAAGTTCTTTCCCGCATCCCGGGCTGCGAATTTGCAAAAAGAGATTTGTGGCATCAAACAAGCTTCAGAGGAGTCATTATATGAATATTGGGATAGTTTTAATAAGTTAATTGCTAGATGTCCACAACATTAGATTTCTGAGCAACCTTTAATTCAATATTTCTATGAATGACTAACTTCTATTAACATGAGGATCATTGATGTCGTCAGTGGAGGAGCTCTCATTAATAAGGCTCCGAGAGAAGCTTGGAATCGTTGAATGATATGGCCATAAATTCACAACAATTTTGACCGAGGATGTCGTGGGAGTTAAGGAAGTTGCCGAGGTAAGTTCTCCTATACAACAACAATTTAATGAATTAACTGCTTTTGTGAGAAAACTTGTTGTAGGGAATGCTCAAGTGAAGCCATGTGAAATTTGTACGAGTGTTGCGCATCTTACTGATGGTTGTCCTATGTTGATGGAGGGGGTGGAAGTGAATGTTGCAGGATTTGCACCAAGAAGGGCTTACGACCTATATTCGAATACATATAATCCGGGATGGAGAGACCACTCCAACTTTAGTTATGGGAATCATCAAGCCTATGGCCAACAACAACCACCGGGTTTCCAATCATACGCACAACAACAATAACAAATGACAATGCCGCAAGCTCCAATTCCTGGTAACTCTCTACATGATATAGTGAAATCAATTGCTTCTAATTTTTTGCAATTTCAGCAAGAGACAAGAACAAACACTAAAACCTTGGAAGATCAAATGTCTCAAATTGTGAAAAAGGTGCATGAAATGAAAGAAAGGGAGAAAGGCAAGCTACCGACTCAAACCCACATGAACCCAAGCAATGTTAGTTCAATGGTCTTGCGAAGTGGTAATGAGCTAGAAGGTCCGAAGGTGGTTGCACAAAAAGAGAAAGACGAAGAGGATATTGAGAAGAAGATTGAGCAAGAAGCGAACAAGTCAACTGATCAGGTGAATTCTAAACCCTTTATTCAATCAAATTCTAATATTACTCCATTTCCTCACAGGTTAGAGAAACCGGCTAAAAACGACAAGGATAAAGAGATCATGGAGATGCTTAAGAAAGTGGAGCTAAGCATTCCTTTGCTCGATGTTGCGAAGAAAATTTCCATAAAAATGCGGAGATCCATGTATGTTTATAGTCCCGTGCAAGATAGGTAATATGAAAATTAAAAAAGCTATGCTAGATTTAGGTGCAACCATAAATGTTATGCCTAAGTCCATTTTTAACTCTTTGAACATTGAGCCTTTGAAAGAAACATGAATAATAA